ATCAGGACCCACACAGACCGCAGGGTGAGCGCCCCCTGCTGGCCCCACTAACACCTCTCCCAGCAGCAGCCTTAGTTTTTCCCAGGAGGTCTCCCATCCAGGTACTGGCCAGGCTCACACCTGCTGAGCTCCAGTGGGGCTGCCAGCTGTGAGCTGCAGAGTCATATGGCATGGCTGGTGACCATAACAGTGCTTTCAGCTCCACCCGCTCTCCGATCTCCCTGACTCTCACCCTGACTCAGCACCCTCCCAAACACGCTGCTTCCTCTGGGAGTGGTGGAGCAGTTCCAGCGCCGATTCCTGAACTGGTGCTGGCACTTCACACAGCGGCACGGCACAGAGACACAAAATTACAGCGACATGGTGATACAACAGCATTGCATCGAGACACAAAATTACATCAGCACAGTGACGCAGCAGCACAGAAATACAGCAAAACAGCGACACGACGACATGACACAGTGACACAACCGAGCGATATAGCAGCACAGCAAAGTGGCATAGCAGAGTGAGAGAGCAGGACAAAAATACAGCGACACAGTGGCACATCAGTAGGAAAATACAGTGGCACAAAAATATAGTAACAGCACAGCAACACGGCAGCAGAGAAGCAGCATGACACAGTGACAGAAATATATCGACAGTTACACAGCGACAGGTGACACCACAGCAAAGCAATACAGCGCCAGAGCAACACAGCACAGTGAGATAATAACCGCAACACAGCCACAGAAACAGTGACCCAGCATCACAGTGGCACAGTGACGTGTGGACGACAAAACCACAATACAATATTCACAACAAAACAATATTAGACCAGAGGGACACATGACAAGTGCCTCTTCTCAACGTTTATATACTGGGAGACATTAAAAAAGCCCCAGATTTGTTTGCATTTTTGATGCTTCGGTACACTTCAAATTCACTTAATTTGCCATAGTAATTCTTTCTGTAAAGCTTTAATTAATAAGTACTTTACTTAAGAGGGAATTTACGTCCATATCCGGTGAGCCATGCAGGAATACACAGCCCTTTTTATACATAGTCCTCCCATTTTAGGGGACCAAAAGTAATTGGACACATTAATAACATAATCTTAAATAAATGAATAAAAACCTCCGATTATTTGTTTCATTTCAAATCCAAAGTGCTGGAGTACAGAGCCAAAAAACAGCAAAAAGTGTGTCACTGTCCCGATACGTGCGGACAACACCAGCGAGCCTCTCTGTGTATTATACCTCATCGATGGTCATCTCCGCGCCCCGGCGCACGGACTCCATGACCTCCCCCCGCGCACGGCACACCACCACCTGCCCCGGCGTCAGGCCCCGCAGGCGGCCACAGGCGGCGCTGTCCGGGAGAGGGCGAGGCAGCGGCTGCCTGACCAGCGACCTGGGGGACGATTCAAAACAGGCGTGCTGAATGACCCGACTCCCCGCAGGGCGTTCGCACCGCGCTGGGAAAGACGGTCAGTTGTTTTTTGCCTCCCCTCTTTCTTTAGTGGCCGGGGGCAGGATCACAGTTCAGGCGCCGAATTTCCTTCCAGAGGTCTACCTCTAAGTAAGCTCAGGCTAAACCCCCGTCTCACCGCGAATTCTGCTCCTCTAAACTATTCCAGTAATAAGAACGCAACATTTCAGAACATAGAGCTGTGGGCAGTTATGGAAACGACCGGATAATCAATTTATCTCTGTTGCATAGTCTTACAGTACCCATGCAAACTACACATCACCATCACACCAGGACACACACACACACTTACAGCCAATTGGTTGCCATGGTGTTGGTTGCCCATAGCAACAGGAGGAGGCGGTGCAGACGGACCCTCACTGGAGAGACACCTGGCATCTGTCTGCCCGTCTTTGCGCGTGTCCGTACCTGCCCGTGGGTCAGTCTGAGCTCCTCCTGTGTGTGTGTGTGTCTGCGGCTCCCTGTGTGTTTGCCCGCAGGTAAGTCTGTGTGTCAGCCTGGGTGCTGTTAAGTGTGCGTCAGTCAGTGCGTTTGTGTACTCGCTGTCAGAAGGGGGATGATCCCCTCATTCCCTAAAGAGATGCTGACCCTGAAAAAAAAATGAAGACATTTGAATAATACTGATACAATCACCCTCTTCCTCAATGTGCCATATTTCTACAACAGACCGCTGTCTTAAAATGGCTGTACCTTTACTGTTTTTCCCCTTACTGTTCCAGGACTATTCAAAAGTACTTCTAGTTGAACAATTTACCGAAACACACCTATTTTACCATTTTCTTTCCGAGAGCGTGCTATCGGGACATGCCTGCACTTCAGCTGCCACAACATCGCGTTATATCGCCAGTTCTAAACGGCGTGTAGTGGACCGGTCAGATACACACCCACCTGTTCTGCGATTTGAGCTCACTGTGGAGACTTACTAGGGTCTAAAACGGTTTAAAACCCTGGTCCTGGAAGTCCCCAGTCCAGTTAATCTTATACGTCACTCCGAATCACCTTTATAGCTTTTAGAACATCAGGACATGTAAGTCCATCAATTAAGTTATCTATGTTTGTCGGATAAGAAACCCCCGTGCTTCGGGGTTAGGTCATTATATATATTTTTCGGTTCCAAATGCTCAATTCAGCACGATGCACGTCTTTATAAACGGATGATTGCGTGGTGGTAGATATATTTCCCCGGTCGGAATGGTAACAGGCATCACAGAGTGATGGGGAAGATGCCCCAGCAAGCAACAGGCACTTTGAAAACCGCTCCGTTTCATCAGGCAAATACCTTCAAAAGTAAAGCAGAGTAGTCAGTTTCTCTCACCTGTTGGTCGTCTCCTGGGCGGTTTTCCTGCTGAGACCCGAAAGTTTCCTTTTCCGAAACGAGTATTAATAATAATAACTTTAGACTACACTCGCTTTTGTATTACGAATAGCCTTATATTACCTGTTGTGTCCGGAGCCCGAGAACTCTTCCGAAGAGGGTCATTTCAAATGTCCTAAAATCTCGACAAGGAAACTAGCGTTGTCTCCGCGTCCTTCTCGATCTTACTATTCTGAGTTAAAGACGGGACGTCCGGTTCTGACCGGGTTGCAGAGTAGAACACCTGGAACTAACCAGCCCTGGCATTGTCCGACGTGCTTCCAGAACCGAGTTTGTTTTTATTCTTTAGATTTACAAGGGAGCTAACTTCTTTTGCACGGAGAGACGCGTGGGCCGGATCTGTGTATGAACGGGAAAGAATTTACCCTGGACTGAAATCCAGGGTCTAAGTAGAATGAAGCATCTTTCTCAAAGTGCGATGCAGGATGCAGAGAAATCCGGCTATCAATGAGCTTTCAAACCCGCGTCTCGCTACCGCTATGCCGAAGGACTGGCGGAATTTCCAGCGCGGAGAAAATGAGCGCCCCGTACCGGAGGTACAGTAACGCCTTCTGCGTGGTAAAAACGCACCAGCTCTCTGGCCAGGATCTACCGGGGGGAGATCGGCGAGGTAAAAGCGAACTGAGCCAGCGAGAATGGTTTTAAAGGAGAAAGGGGGAGGAGGAGGAGAAATGGTTGGGACTTTAGGGGTGTAGATCTTGTCTTTACTATACCGGGCTGGGACAATACCGCGCTTCACCATGGTGAATATTTACAAGGTCTGTAGGACTGTCTTATGCAGGGAGCCGTGGGAGCACGGGAAATCATAGAAGAGGGCAGTGACAAGCGAAGTCAAATTGGTGTAAAATGACTCAACTATAAATGGTCTATTAAAACCGCTGCTCTCTGCAATTATACCGGAGGACGCGCGGAATTAGCGGTGATGCGCTAAAATGGAACATCATGGGGCTTTTTAATACGGGGGTTAAACATTTCATTATTTTTGAGCACTCTTCCCGCACTTAGGCATATCCAAGTACAGGGGGTGTAAATGTACAGTCAGAGGATCTATTCCCGAAGAGTTCCAGCACACACAGCTTTTATAGGAGGCCTTTAATTCGTCAAGGGCTTGAACAGGCGTGTTAAATTCATTCATCGAGCGATCATTTGGAATGTGGAAACATTACTTGTTTTTCCTCATCTTTAACTAACAAGTGATTTAGGATGATTTAGGAGGATAGTTGGACTAGAGCTCTCCAGGACCAGGGTTGGAGACTGTGGAGACTCTGTGGTTTTATCCAGATCAGATTTCAAGGAGTGAATGGGCATGTAGGTTAGGGCTAAGGCACATTTGCAGTATGATTTAGAGGTTGAGACTGAGATTGGTTAATAATTAATATGGGGATGCAGTCACCGTTGGTTTTGAATATGAGCGATGTGGTCAGAGTCAGAATGTGGGGGGGAGATAAGAGGTTAAAATTTGGATTCAATCTGAAAATGAGTTTAAAGTGTGTCTAGGTTTGGGGCTGTCTTTGTATCACCATTGTTTTGAAAGGTTGGGTTAGCATTTCTCACAGGGATCAGTTGTAGCAACTGTGTGGAAGAAAAATGATGTTTCTTAATGGAGTTGCTATAAAAGCATCGAAAAATAGAATCACCACAAAGGGATTGCGCTGGAAGTACTGTAGAAAAATTCCTATTCCTATAGGGGGCTAAAATAAAACTCAGTAGAATTACTGCATTACAAATAAACCATAGGTAAAATACACTAGAACCGTCCTGTTACAATAGGAGCTCCAGTCCCAGTCCAGTAGAACAGACCTGTTACAATAGGAGCTGCAGTCCCAGTCCAGTAGAACAGTCCTGTTACAATAGGAGCTACAGTCCCAGTGCAGTAGAACAGTCCCATTACAATAGGGGCTCCAGTCCCAGTAAAGTAGAACAGTCCCATTACAATAGGGGCTACAGTCCCAATGCAGTAGAATAGTCTGTTACAATAGGAGCTTCAGTCCCAGTACAGTAGACCAGTCTGTTACAATAGGAGCTTCAGTCCCAGTACAGTAGACCAGTCTGTTACAATAGGAGCTACAGTCCCAGTGCAGTAGAACACTCTGTTACAATAGGAGCTACAGTCATTTACAACAAAAGGGCTAAGGTCAAAATCTGGAAGAAGCATGTTTCAGTGGGGACTTCAGTACAAACACGGTGAAACAGTCATTTTGTAATGAGGGGCGGCAGAGCTGGGGCATTGCATTACGGGGCTATGATGGTATCGAAGGACAATACATTTTAAACCGTGCCTGGGTAAAAGGAGCCCAGTCTTGAGCAGACGAAAGCCTGCAATCACCCAAGCTGAAAGAGTCTGAAAGTTCGGGGAGAGGAGAGAGAGCTGTTGTCTGTTTGTGTGTATCAGGTGGTGGTGGTGGG